AAGCTTCACTAAACATTCAACTACAGTTGTTTGTGTGGACATGTTTTCATTTCTCTGGGGTAAACACTTAGGAGTGGAATTGTTGGGTCATATAGTAACTGTGTGTGTAGTATTATAAGAAACTGCTAGGTTGTTTTCCTTTATGCTCCCATCAGCAGTATATGAGAATTCCAGTTCTTCCACACCCGTAGCAAAACTTGGCTTTGTCATTCTTTATTTGAACTGTTCCTATGGATATGCAGTTTTTGTGTTTTAACCTACAAAATTGAAAAGTACATCTTAATTATTTGCAGTTATAAGAATTCATTGTCATTTTTTATAGGCTGCCTCTGAGGGACTAATTAGCCTTTAATTAATTTCTTGAATGTCACAAGGGGTCGAAATAATATTTTGCTTACCACTCAGCATGGCGGCTTCTTATGGTGCATTAATGATTGGCTCTGTCATATTCCGCCCATATTACTTTCATTATATACAGCTTCCTGTACAAGCACGGTACAAAAACAGATCCTGCCTGTTTAGAGCTTTTTCCTGTTTCTGGGAGTGTTTATATTAGTTTTGCAATTTCCTCAGCTGGCTAACTTTAGTTGAATAAAAGTCTTATTTAAAGCCACTCCCATTAGCTAGCTGAAAGTTTTTCTACTGGGGCCAAATTTGATCTCACGTAAAAAATGAGGAGGAGGATGTCCTGCCCAGGTGGCTAGGTTGGTTGGAACATCATATCATATGCAAAAAAAAAAAAGAAAGAAAAAAGAGAAGGTTGCAGGTTCAATCCCTGGTCAGGGCGTGTGCCGGAAGCAGCTGATATCTTCCCCCCCCCCCCACCTCTCTCTCTCTCTCTCTCTCTTTCTCTCTCTCTCTCTCTCTCTCTCTCTCTCTCTCTCTCTCTCTCTCTCTCTCTCTCTCTCTCTCTCTCTCTCTCTCCTCCCCCCATCAATAAAAACATATCCTCAGGTGAGGATAAAAAACAAAGAGGAGAATTTTATTAAAATTGTATTTTTGTGGTGCTGAAGACACAGAGTAAATTGAGTACCATCTAGTTGCCTAAGGGAATCAGATTCTATTGGATTGTTCCTCCTGGCCAGTAGCTGCTTTTGTGTGGGTAGGACTGAGTGGTTCTTTGATGGAGTTGTCATATGAAGGCAGCGATCTTGTGATCCCGTGGTCTTCGGTAGACAGCTCAATGCTTTATTTTCAAATGAATTTCAACTAGATTATGTTGCAAAGACGGAAGAAAAGCAAGGGGATTTTGGCTTGTATTACTAGGAGGCCAACATACTACCTAACTTGCTTGCACAAGTGATAGAAATGCTGTCACATGAATAGCTACTGTTTATGAAGCGTTTCTCTTGTTTTAGCTTCATCGCATTTTAGTTCTCACAACACTCATAGCTCTAAGTATTATTAAGCCCGCTGTATGGGTTGGGAAATGGAGAATTAGGGAGATTGAATAAGGTCTTATCTGTTAAATGGTACACTAGTCAGTCTGACTCCACAAGCCTCTGCTTGGAACCAGAAGTCTGTGTTGCTGAAAATCCCCTTGACTGCAGAATTAATTTCTAGCTCTCATTCATTTATGCCTTCAGAGTGGCTCATCGGGCCCCACCTAGTTTGCGTCTGGTGTAGTAGCATTCTTGTGGAAAAAGGATGTCGTATAAACATTTTTATGGCTCCGAAGGCCTCTTGATTCTTGATGAGGGAGGGCCCTTTATGAAATCAGACATCCTGGGGTTTTTACTGACATCATTTCATTCTCTGAAGAGTGAAATAATTTCCAGCTTTTATTATTAAATCATGGAATATACAGCATTCCTTCTTTAGTTGCACCAAGTAAATACTAGCAAGTGCCTTTGGAATGTGACAGTGGTAGTCTTTTCTTTTCTCCCTTCTTTTTAAAAGAGGTTTTTGGGATTATAGCTCATTTGAAGCGTCGTCTTACTAAGGAGTGAAATCTAAGCCAGCTCCCTTGCTCCCGTGGCTGCTCTTGAAGTAAGCCTCACTGAAGTTTCTGGGATGGTTTTGGGGCTTGTTTCTGTGAGTGACCCAAGGAACAGTGTATTCTAACTTGAAAACTGAGTGGGTGGAGGTGCATTAGAAACAACAGTTTTCAACGTTTCTCCTTTTTGAAGCTGATGCAAGCTGTGGGCCCTCTTCCTGGGGGAAAAATACATATATACACACAAATCCAAGTTTACATACAAATGTTGTAGGTGTTCACTGACCCCCCTCCCCAAGCCTATCAACAGAGTCCCCCAAATTAAACATTCTTTAACGGAAAAAATTAGGGAGCTGAAAAGTAAGATTTGAGATCAATTCTTAAACTCCCCCCCCACACACACAAATGTGCAGCTCATAAAATTGCATTAATATAAAAGTCTTCTATATATGTATATACTATTGATTTTTTTTTTTTTTTTTTTTTTTTTTTTTTTTTTTTTTTTTACAGAGAGGAAAGGAGAAGGATAGAGAATTAGAAACATTGTTGAGAGAGAAACATTGACCAGCTGCTTCCTGCACACTCCCTACTGGGGATGTGCCTGCAACCCATGCCCTTGACCGGAATCGAACCTGGGACCCTTCAGTCCACAGGCTGACGCTCTATCTATGGAGCCAAACCGGTTAGGGCAATATAAAAGTCTTGTTTTACTATCTGTGGTAATTTTGTTCCATCTCTAAGTATTAGTGTTCCTCACTTTTTTTTTTTAACTAACAAGGGTATTGTGCACTAGATAAGATTCCTAGGGATAGATGAAGCTCTCTATATTGATTCCCAACTTTTGTTTTCTATTTTATTCTACCAGCAAAAACATTTTCTCAGAACTTCTACTAAGGCCAAAGATTTAGATGAAATCTTTTGCCAATCCCTAATTTTACTTTGGTTTCCATTTCTTTAGCCAAAATCTCTTCATAACCAACAGGTACATAGTACTCCTTTCCTTTTTATACCTTCTGTTAGGAGTGTTCAGGCAAGTTATCCTTTATTACCCATTAATCCTCACGACGACGCTATTATGGACTTCTTATTGTCCCCATTTTACAGATGCGGAAAAGCAACACTAAAAACGGTTCAATAACTTTATCAAGACCAATTCTGATACTAAAAGGCAGAGTTGGGATTTGTAGATCCAGCTCCAAAGCCCACTTTCTTTTCATTTTATCCCGCTCTCTGGTCAGAGTTGACCATTTTTACCTGGTCGTCAGTCTGACCTGAATTCTAAAAGTCCAAATTTCCATCAGTGGAAGGGGTTCTTTATTTTCTTGGAGAGCTAGCTAGCTGTAAAATTACTGTGTGGGTGTGTGTGTGTAAGTTATTTAGGTTGTGCAATGTCAAGAGTGCTGAATTTTACTGGCTAGATTTGTAAACCCAAAATAAGGAAGGAGTCTAGCTGGGTGATCTGTCTGTTCTGTTTAAACAAATGGATGTTTCGGATACCAGATTCTGACAGAGACAATTCCATTGATTGAAAAGTTTGTAGAACATTTATTACTAAGCTTAGCGTCATTTTCAGGAAGGTAAAACTGTAATGGTGTGGGACAGGACTGAAAAAGCTTAAAGGGTAGGTAAGATTTTATTAAACTGACTAAAGGCCAGGTATGTATTTCTGAACTCCCTTGGGATCGCCATGAAGGGAACTTCTGGGCCAGCCAGCTGCCTGGTGGTTTTTGCTGAGCCAGCAGGCTGGGTCAGCATTCTGGGAAGGTAGTTCGGTTTGCCGAGTGAGTTTTGTGAGACTCAGCATCTTTCTTGACGAAATGATTGTTCTTCCAAACCTCATACTTTTCCTAGTTTCAGCCATTTTAAACAGCGAAATAGGAAGGGGAGTGAGTAGGTTGATTTACTAGATAGCCTTAGATGTATATTTTTTAGTGTGAACTAACAACACGGGGCTTTAAGTAAGCTAGCACAGAGCAGAATATTAGTAGATAGAACTCTGAGATTAATAGAAGTGATTGGGAGAACAAAAGAAGTAAGATCAGATAATTTAACTTCAGCGGGATTATCGCCCAGCCTTTTAAAAAACTAATGTGTATGAAGACATAAACCATTTGAGTCCCAAGGCAATGAAACTTGTCATAAAGGAAAGTTAAGTTGACTAATTTGAAGATATGGGGGAAGTCAGATATAAATGTAAAAGAATTATCTTAAGTCATACTTTTTGAGTCTTTACAAATTAATGGAATGCATTTTGTGGAAAATTCCTTTCAACAGAATTTCTAGGATGTTTAAAAAGGACAGAATACAGTTCAAATGGCAGAATTATTAAAAGCCACTTTGTATCGTATATATGATAGGATGAGGATATTGGACTATCAAGCTTTAAAAGCTTTGTTTTCTCCTCAGCTTCACCCTCTTTCCATTTGTTTTCCTGAAGCTGTGTGTGGGATTCTGGCATAGAGGAAGGGTAGGTTCTCTCACCTATTTCCAACCCCCGTCCCCCTGCCAGAAGCACATTATCCTATATGCTAAAAGGCTAATATGCAAAACGGCAGAACTACCAGTTGCATTGATGTGCACTGACCACCAGGGGGCAGACGCTCAATGCAGTAGCTGCCCCCTGGTGGTCGGTGCGCTCCCACAGGGGGAGGGCCGGTCAGCCAGAAGCCAGGCTCCTGGCTGGCAAGCGCAGCAGCGGTGGCAGGAGCCTCTCCCGGCTCTGCGGCAGCGCTAAGGATGTTCCACTTACAGCTTAGGCTCGCTCCCCTTGGGTGTTGTCACTGGGAGATTCCCTGAAGGCTCCCAGACTGCAAGAGAGAGAGCACAGGCTGGGCTGAGGGGACCCCCCATTTCCCACCCCCCACACCTCTGCCAAGTGCACGAATTTTGTGCACCGGGCCTCTAGTGATCTATAAAAACATAAACAGCTTTTCTAGAACCAAATTAATCTTTTGATTTTATGGTTCATTCTGTGTGACACTGGAGTGGGGGCAGGAGGGTGGACATACCAAGTGTTTGGACCCTTCTGGCTTATGGGATTGTCTTTCTCCCTTTTTCCCCTTAGGAACGGCGTGAATGTTGAGGGGGCAACACACAAGCAGGTGGTGGACCTGATCCGAGCAGGCGAGAAGGAATTGATCTTGACAGTGTTATCTGTACCTCCCCATGAGGCAGATAACCTAGAGCCCAGTGACGACTCGTTGGGACAATCATTTTACGATTACACAGAAAAGCAAGCAGTGCCCATATCGGTCCCCACATACAAACATGTGGAGCAGAATGGTGAAAAGTTTGTGGTGAGTGTCAGCCTAGTTCAACCCTCAAATATCGGGCTTTTGTTTCTAATCTTATCATTTGTGACATATATTAGAGCACTAGAATAACTGACTAATATAACTAATAACTGACAAGTCCAGGAAGGTGGATTTACACACAAATCAAAGACACTAAACTTGATTTATTGTGGAAGGGGTGAGCTATGGTAATGAAGAATCCTATAGTTCTTTTTGTGTTTATACTTTTTAAAATTTTTTTACTGATTTTTAGAGAGAGAGGGGAAGGGTGATAGGGAGAGAAATATCAATATATCAATTTGTTCCACTTTTTAATGCATTTATTGGTTGCTTCTTGTACGTGCCCTGATGGGATTGAACCCACAATCTTGGCGTATTGAGACAGTGCCCTAACTAACAGCTACCCGACCAGGGTGAGTCCCATTTCTGCATAAGCATAATTGAATTTTAGTCCCTTCAGTTTTAAGTTTTGTTTGTTTGGTTTTTTATTGGTTGCCATATCGCTCACTGTTGACTCTGTAGAGCTATCGAGTAAGATTGATATTGAAAAGTGGTGTGCTCCAGAATATTGGGGTAATTCTGTTTGTCCACTTCAGAACCCACAAATGTGATATATTTCTCTTCAGACCTTGTTCTTTTTCATTTTCTTTGGAGCTAGCCGTGTGAATGATTAACTCTGGTTTTTCCCAAGGTCCTAGTTGTATTCTGAATGCAGTTCATGCCAGTCATTTTACCCATTTCCATTCTGTTGCTGTTGTAGATATGCAGGAAGCCCATCTTGAATTCTGAGTGGCGTGTGCCAGTCTCTTTCCTGAATGCCTTTGTTTGCTCTTCCAAACCTCATTGCCACTGATTGCCCAGTCTGCCTGATTTTCCTTTGGCTGCAGTATGCTTTATTTACCTCTGTAAAAAAAAATGTCCTGGCTGAGTGGCTCAGTCATCCCATACATAAAGAAGTTCAGGTCCGACTCCCGTCTGGGCACATGCCTAGGTCGTGAGTTCAATTCCCTGTCGAGGCTTATGGGAGGCAACCGATAGATGTTCCTCACATTGATGCTTCTCTCTTCCTCTCTCCCTTCCTCTCTAAAAATCAATAAAAACATCTTCAGGTGAGGATAAAAAAAAAAAAAAAAAGGCATTGAGTACTGTTAGAAATAAAAGACTACATCTACATGTATTTAACGCTGACCTGCTAACTAAAGTTGCAATCTCTGACACCGAGCTTTGTCTCCTGTATAGGAATGGGCCACTAGATATTTATGGAACATTCTCTTTAGTGGGGAGATGAGAAAAACAAGGAAGCTAGACAGTTTCAGAAGGATCGAATGTTTGACTAATCGGCAGTTTAGCTGGAGATGCTAGCACATGGATTTTATGCCAGCCTGGCTGACGTATTCTCAGAAGCATACACACAGAATCCAGAGTTTTGTGTTTTACAAGTGCCCTAAGAAGTAGAGATCAAGGTCAGGTCCTAAGGTAGAGCAGTTGGGATGTTGAGACCCTTTTGTGAATTAACTAAGACTTTGGGAACCTCTGTAGATTTCAGAGAAAGATGGATATTACTAATTGTTTTATTTTTAAAATTTTTATTGTTGACATTATTACCTATGTCTCCCATTTTTTCCTTTTTTGCCTCCTCCACCCAAACCCCACCCTCCCCTTTCTCTGGCCCTAACCACACTGTTGTCTGTGTTCATGGCTATGCATATATGTTTTTTGGCTACTCTCTTCACCTTCTTTCATCATGTCTGCTCCACCTACCTCCCTTCTGACATCTGTCAGACTGTACCCTGTGTCCATGATTCTGGTACTATTTTGTTAATTAGATTCCACATATAAGTGAGATATGATATTTGTCTTTCTCTGACTGGCTTATTTTACTTAGCATTATAATCCCCATATCTGTCACAAAAGGTGAGTTCCTTCCTTTTTATAGCTGTGTAGTATTCCACAGCTTTTTTATCCACTCATCTATTAATGGGCACTTGGGCTATTTCCAGATCTTGGCTGTTGTAAGTATTATAACTCTGCTATGAAGGTGCACACATTCTTCCTGATTGGTGTTTTGGGATTCTTAGGATATATTCCCAGAAATGGGATCACTGGGTCAAAAGGCAGTTCCATTTTTAAATTTTTTAGGAAACTCCATACTGTTTTCCACAGTAGCTGTACCAGTCTGCATTGCCATTTAACTCCATATCTTCTCCAGCACTTGTTGTTTTTGATTTATTGATGGTGGTTATTCTGTCCGGTGTGCAGTGATATCTTATTGTAACTTAATTTGCATCTTTCTTATGATTAATGATGCTTTTTGTATTCTAAGAAGTCTGCTTAACCAATGGGCACAAATCTGTTTGTGTTTTTTTTTGTTTTTTTTTGATAAAAGTTTTATAGTTTTAGCTTTTTGTTTTTGTAATAACTATTGAGGTATGATTCACATACCATAAATTCACCCACTTTTATTGTATAGTTCTGTAGTTCTTAATGTGTTCACAATGTTGTGCAACCATAAACAGTCCATTTTAGAATATTTTTATCACCTAAAAAAGAAATTCCATACCATTAAGCCATCATTCTTTTTTTTTTTTTTAATATATATTTTATTGATTTCTTACAGAGAGGAAGAGAGAGAGAGAGTTAGAAACATCAATGAGAGAGAGTCATCGATTAGCTGCCTCTTGCACCACCCCTACTGGAGATGTGCCCACAACCAAGGTACATGCCCTTGACTGGAATTGAACCTGGGACCTTTCAGTCCACAGGCTGACGCTCTATCCACTGAGCCAAACCGGTCTCAGCAAGCCATTATTCTTTATACCTCCCATTCCCACCTGCCCTAGGTAACTGCTAATCTACTTTTTGTCTATAGATTTGTCTGTTCTAGACATTTCATATAGATGAAATCATATGTGTTTTCAAGGTTTATCCATGTTGTAGCTTGTATCAGCCAAATAAACTTCTATTGTATGGATATACCACATTTGATTTATCTATTTTATCATATGAACATACTTTTGTGTGGATATTTCTCTTAGTTATATATTTAGGAGTATAATTGTTGGGTCATATGGTAAGTCTTACATTTAACCTTTTGAGGAAATGCCAGATAGTTTTCCAAAGTGGCTGTATCATAGTTTTTTTTATTCTTTAATTTCTCATTAACTTGTTTTAATGATGGAAGGCAGAGGATCAAAACCAGGTATATCTGACTTCAGGCAATACATTTTTGAAAAAGTCTATTTGATAACAAAAAACTGCTATTGCTTATATCATTGTTAGCCCTTTTCTTTTTATTTCTTTTTATTGATTTCAGAGAGGGAGTAGAGAGAGAGAGAAACATTAATGATAATCATTGATTGGGTGCATCCTGTACGCCCCCCACTGGGGATCGAGCCCACAACCTGGGCATATTCTCTTGACCGGAATCGAACCAGGGACCCTTCAGTTCACAGGCCAATGCTCTCTCCACTGAGCCAAACCAGCGAGGGCTAGCCCTTTTCTTTGGAAGTCCAGGCCACACACAAATATCAGTGGCATACTTTACGATTAACAAGAACAGTTTGCATGCTTGTTCATTCATAGTGTTTACCACGTTCACTTCAAATAACTTAACTTTCTGAAAATAAAATCTACCCTTAAAGCTGACAATTACCTTTGAAGATATTTAAAAGTGTGTTGGGAGGTCATTTTAATAGCAAAAATAAGATCATGGTCCCTTTGAAGAGAGTCGTCCTCTTTTATACATATAATTTCTGGCACATTTATTAAAAATAAAGTCTTAATTTTACAATCACCTTGAACATATTCTCTGTTAGATGCATACCTCACCAGTATGGATCTGAGCCTGGCTGTCGTTGATTCTGTGACTTGATTTGTATTAAATAGACTGTGTGTGTTCTCCTCCTCACAGGTCTACAACGTGTACATGGCAGGGAGGCAGCTGTGTTCTAAGCGGTACCGGGAGTTTGCCATCCTCCACCAAAACCTGAAGCGAGAGTTTGCCAACTTCACATTTCCCCGCCTGCCAGGGAAGTGGCCCTTCTCCTTATCAGAACAGCAGTTAGATGCCCGAAGACGAGGACTGGAAGAATATCTAGAAAAAGGTAAGCCGGCCTGTTAAACTCTACTGTCTCACATAGATACAGGGTCTAGGTATATGTTGCAACTCTCTCTCTCTCTATATATATATATATATATATTTTAATTTTATTTTTCTTAATTTTTTAAATTGATTTTTTACAGAGAGGAAGAGAGAGGGATAGAGAGAAACACTGGTAAGAGAATCATCGATCAGCTGCCTCTTTCACACCCCCTACTGCGGATGTGCCCTTGACCGGAATCGAACCTGGGACCTTTCAGTCCGCAGGCTGAAGCTCTATCCACTGAGCCAAACCGGTTTCGGCTGTTGTAACTCTTAAACTGCACAGCTAAGTTTTATGAAACAGCAGTGAAAGTAAGTTAAGTCTCTGACTATAGGTGTTGGATGATCTGAGCTTTGAAGCCAAGACTGAATGTCATATGTGTTTTCAAGGTTTATCCATGTTGTAGCTTGTATCAGCCAAATAAACTTCCATTGTATGGATATAACCACATTTTAAAGGTGTCATTATTTCAGGATTCAGAAAGGAATGTATGGTAGACTTCTTGAGCTAGTCTAGCATGCCTAACCATATAAAATCAGAGAATATTGGTTGAAACTACAGTTTTTAATTGTCTTCTTATTTGTGAGTTCTGAATGTTTGAAAAATAAGCAAAAAATCTCACCTGTGTTTGACCTAGTCTGTTTGACATGAGTTTTCTGTATTAAAATGTGACCATGACTTCAACATATTTCTTTTCTCCCTGTTCATCTTACAGGTTAACTGCTGCTACACTCTAAAGTCAGCTTAATGTCCAGTACAGCGATTAAGATTAATAGCCTATTTTATTGACTCAGTGAATACATAACAGAAAAAAATGCATAATTAGTTGTGATTAGGACCTCTATTTATGGGGTTATGTTATTTGCCGGCAGACACACACAAACTGACTCAACAGCATGCTGAATTAATTTGGGGGCTAAGTGGGCAGTGTCACTCCTTGAAAATGCCACATTACTCTGACGTGTGTCCAGAGATAGGTTGGCTGAGTTGTAGATAATCTAGTCCCCTGTCCTAAACAGGTTATAGTAGAAGTACTGAAACTTACTTATCTTAGGATTTCCTAGCAGTCCGTAAGGAGTTTGTGGATGTAGAGACTGATGCCTTTGCTTATCTAGATAGTTGGGGGAAAGGAGACAGATCTCCCCCTAAAATAGTTCATTTTGTTGCTTCACTACATAGAGTTAACATACTTTGCTAGCTGAGCAACAGGCTTTTTTTAAACATACGAATTTAATAGAATAATGGTCTTACGTGGCATTTTGTAATTCTGTGTCCTTGTGTCCTTGAGTAAGAACTAATTGACCTAGTTGAAATTTTTTTTTTAACTTAGGGAGAGAGCTTTATCCCTGAAGAAAAATTACTTTCCCCGTAGACGGAGTGAAACTTCATTTGTTTTTAGTTTTTTTTTCTGGCATGGAATGGCCTCTAAACACAGCTCTTGGGAAATGAGAAATGGTACATTTTTTTTTTTAAATAAAATGAAGTAAAAATCAGTGTAATTTGCCATCCTCATGAGAGTATCAGGAAATTAACTTTCTTAGATTTAGACAATTAGCTATCCACTTGCCTCCTTTTTCCTTCCCTTCTTTCTTTTTGTTGTTGTTTTGAAGTTCAAATTAGTGAGGTGACAAGATGTGCTCAGCTTAATACTTAATTACCTACTCATTTTCCCCCAAATGGCTTTATGTTTGTATTGCTTTCAAAGAGGGAGAGATAGCCGAAACCGGTTTGGCTCAGTGGATAGAGCATCAGCCTGCAGACTGAAAGGTCCCAGGTTCGATTCCGGTCAAGGGCATGTACCTTGGTTGCGGGCACATCTTCAGTAGGGGGTGTGCAAGAGGCAGCTGATTGATGATTCTCTCTCATCGATGTTTCTAACTCTCTATCCCTCTCTCTTCCTCTCTATAACCTGCACGCCCCCTACTGGGGATGGATTCACAACCTGGGCATATGCCCTTGACCGGTATCGAACCCGGGACCCTTCCTATATGCCAGCCCACACTCTGTCCACTGAGCCAAACCGACCAGAGGCCCAAATTAGCTTTAAATGTTTATGATTCTCTAGCTAGCCTCTTCCTAGGCCAAGTGGATAGCTTTTCTTTTATATCTCAGTTTTGTGTTTGGTTTATTTCTAACTGATCTTTCCCTTGCTCTGTTGTCTAGCTTGTTGATAGTTCACACAAGATGACAAAGTTAGATTTGCTGAACTTTTATTTCCCTTTTTTTTGAGTGACTTCCTTTGGCTGTTGAATATTTTTAGCAAGCTACATTTTTGTACATTCTATTACTTTTCTGTCTTAGTTCATATTGATTTGAATGTTCTTGTGTCTTAATATGTCATATGTTAGGGATGATATACTACCTCAGCATTGCCTGGTACTAATGATTTGCACTTAAACCTTGATATGTACTTGACTTCATACTCTTGATTTTAGAGCCTCATGGCAGATTCTATCTTTGTTTCCTGCAGTGTGCTCAATACGAGTCATTGGTGAGAGTGATATCATGCAGGAATTCCTGTCCGAATCGGACGAGGTAAGTGACCTCTCCTACAGTGACTGGTTACCTCTTCTTGGCTTATTGAGGGAGAAAGAAATTAAAGATAGAGACTATGGAGAATGCCTATTTTTCAATCTTTTCCTATGTGTCCTGCTTATCCTTTAAGACCCAGTGCTAGGTCCACCTTCTCTTGGAAGCTTTCCCTTTTACCGAAGTCATCAATTTGTCATTCCACCAAAAACTTTTGCAGTCAGTACAAATTAACACGTTGTTGAACTCTCTCATTCTCTATTTTTTATATATATGCTCAGACTGTTACTTTATATTTCTAGTGTGAGCTACTTGTAGGTAAGAGTTAAATTGTTTTTTTGTTTTGTTTTTTTTTTAAAGTTTTATTGAGGTATAAATAGGAATTGTATTTATTTGAGGTATACAACTTGATGTTTTGATGTATGTGTACATTGTGATGATCACCATAATCAAAGTAATTAACATATTTATCACCTGGTTGATCCTTTATTTCTTCTTTTTGTGGTGAGAGCACTTAAGGTGTACAAATTTTAGCAAATTTCAGTATACAATACAGTATTGTTAACTGCGGTCACCATGCTATATATGGTGACCGCAGTTAACAATATTTAGCTTCAGAACAAGAGCTAAATCTTGATCATCTTTATATTCCCACTGTCTTATCACAGTGTCAGGCATATTGTAGGTTTCATAAATATTAACTGATAGAAGAATGAATATGTAATATTACTGTATTAAGTAGTGTATTATCTACTGATTATTTTATATGTTTAAATTTTATTTTTCCAATTAGATTTTAAGTTTATTATAGACAAGGGTTTATAACAAAGTAATGTTTAGGATGGTTTTAGGCAATAAATAGTACTCTTTTTTTTTCTTCTTCTTTTTAATGGTAAGTGAAAAAAGTTGTTCTTAAATAGTTGTTTCTCTAATAAAAATGACAAGGTCAAAAATTTGTTAAGGAACGTGTTAATCATCAAAACCAGTGAGAGTGAAAGATTTCTTTAAAATTAAGGAGAATAAGTATTATTTTCTCTTTGCTAGAAGAAAATTGGGCATCAGAGTAACTCAGATTCCTGAGTGTCATCAGTTTCCTTTCAAAGGTGTCATTATTTCAGGATTCAGAAAGGAATGTATGGTACTTCTTGAGCAAGTCTAACATGCCTAATCATATAAAATCAGAGAATACTGGTTGAAACTACAGCTTTTAGTTGTCTTCTTATTTGTGAGTTCTGAATGTTTGAAGATAAGCAAAAAATCTCACCTGTGTTTGACCTAGTCTGTTTGACATGAGTTTTCTGTATTAAAATGTGACCATGACTTCAACATATTTCTTTTCTCCCTGTTTATCTTACAGGTTAACTGCTGCTGCACTCTAAAGTCAGCTTAATGGCTTATAAATGTATTGACTTATAAGGTGTCTTTCCTCCTCTTTTCTTTGGAACTCACTTTCTCTCCATCACATTAAGTTGTTGTTTAGCTTGCATGCTTCAAGGAGAATGAGGATATATTGGTCATACATTCTTTCTCTGTGTCTTTCTCCCCAGAACTACAATGGTGTGTCTGATGTAGAGCTGCGAGTAGCTTTACCAGATGGATCAACAGTCACAGTCAGGGTCAGAAAGAACAGTACTACAGACCAAGTATATCAGGTAAAGTAAACTTGAGCCAGTAGACTTGACATTGCATGTTTCAAAGCTAAGGAAGATGGATTAAATGAGATAATACATATAATGTGATTGGAGTCTCCAGCACGTAAGTTTATTAAATGTTAGCTGCTGTTGCTGATGTTGTTATGTTAATGTGAAATTACTTTGTCCTCCTTGAAAAAAAGGTATCCCAGTAGTAGTGGCTCTGGTTAGTCCCCTCGCCCCTTTTAATTGTAAGAAAACTTTATAACGCACATGAAAACAGAATAGGACAGTGAACCTCTTATCTGTTCATCACTCACTTAATCGTCATTAAGATTCGTCCACATTTGCACTATATATCCTTTCCCCCCCTTTGTTTGAATATTTTAAACCAAATTCCATGTTATTGGACCTGTGTGTATTTTAGTATATATCTCTATAAAATATAGATCTTTCTACATATCCACAAAGCCAGTATCAAACCTAAAAAATTAACAGGATTTCCTTGATATCAACTAATAACAAATCGACAATCAAATTTTCCCATTTATCAAAAAGTGATTTTTTGTAGTTGATTAAAATCTGAATCTAAATAAGTCTTTATATCACATTTGATTTTTATGTTTGTTTTAAAATAGAGCAGTCTGTCTTCCCTTCTCCAACTTGTTTCCCATGTCATTGTGTAATTTCAGAAATTGGGTCTGCGTCTTGTGGAATGTTTATCTGTTTGTTTGTTTCTCTTATGTATTCGTGTCATTTAGTATGTCTTGCTCTCGCCTTATATTTTTTATAGATGGAAGTTTTCTCTGGAGGCTTAATTAGATTCAGGTTCAGCTATTTTGATAAGAATAAGTCATAATCGGTGCTATATTCTTCATATTGCTTCTCCTTTGTAAAGTTCTCCATTGATCTTTTCTCAAATGAGTGTATCAACGATGATTGCTCTCTTTTTTTTTTTTTTAAATATATTTTATTGATTTTGTACAGAGAGGAAGGGAGAGAGATAGAGAGTTAGAAACATCGATGAGAGAGAGTCATCGATCAGTTGCCTCTTGCACACCCACTACTGGGGATATGCCCACAACCAAGGTACATGCCCTTGACCGGAATCGAACCCGGGTCCCTTCAGTCCCCAAGCCGACGCTCTATCCATTGAGCTAAACCGGTTTCGGCTGATGATTGCTCTCTTAACCTCTGGTTCATTAAGGGTTGTAAAGTGTTGCTTTTCTAATTCTCTCATACCTTCACATTTATTAACTAGACTTATTCTGTAAAGAACTTTTTCTTATCAGCTATGGATATTTAGTTATCCTGAAGTACAGTTTTTGATAAGGGAGGGATAAATGTTTCTTTCCTTTTATTGTCAATTTCCAGAGTAAAGAATTGGTGCCTTAGTTGATTCTGATGATGTCCAAGGAGGTTATTTTTATTTTTATTTTTAGTATTGTGTGGGTTTTTATGTATACAGCATGATTTAATCAATAGCATGTATTATCTTTGTGATATTCAAATTGTTCCATCTTTAACCAGTGGAAGCTCCTTCATGTCTGCTCAAGTCTTCTTTTTTTAATTTAAATATATTTTTATTAATTTCAGAGAGGAAGGGAGAGGGAGAGAGATAGAAATATCAACGATGATATTTCTATCTCTCTCGGCTGTCTCCTACATGCCCTACATTGGGGATCAAGCCCACAACCCCAGGCATGTGCCCTGACTGGGAATCGAACTGTGACTTCCTGACTCATAGGTCAATGCTTAACCACTGAGCCACGTCAGTCTGGCTGATTTAGTTTTCTTGAAACTAATCTATCCTGTTTATACTTTAGGCTATTGCAGCAAAGGTTGGCATGGACAGTACAACAGTGAATTACTTTGCCTTATTTGAAGTGATCAATCATTCCTTTGGTAAGTGCCTGTGGCTCATATGAAATTCTGTTTGAGGGTATTTTATTCTAATGCTGTCAGACTGAAGCTTCCAGAAGCTGTCAGGCTGAAACTATTTGCCCAGAGAAGAGCTTGCAGACCAAGGGAGAGTCTGTTTATTAGGACGGACTCCAACAAGCAGACCAGGCAAATGCCATTAAGTCCAAGTCAAAGGATGTGGTCACTGTCGATCCTTCCCTTTTTTGTTAAGTAGAAGTTACTTGCACCCAGGGTTGAAGTAGTATACTTCCATGAAGTTCTTTGAAGTCAGAGGTTCAAAAGTAATACATTCCAATCATCCTTACAAAAAGGGGTGGTTCTATTTAGCAGCTATTTGTTTTAGTGTGCTTTGTGTTTTTTGTAGATTTTTAAGATTTTAAAAAATATATATTTTATTGATTTTTTTACAGAGAGTAAGGAATAGGGGTAGAGAGTTAGAAACATCGATGAGAGAGAATCATCGATCAGCTGCCTTTTGCACACCCCCTTACTGGGGATCTGCCCACAACCAAGGTACATGCCCTTGACCAGAATCGAACCTGGGACCTTTCAGTCCACAGGCTGACGCTCTATCCACTGAGCCACACCAGTCTTGGCTTTTAAAATTTATTTTATTTTTTATTTTTTTATTCAGGAGTTAGAAAGAGATAAATTGCTTAAAAGACATTGCTTGAATGCATATCTTTTGAGTTTCTTTGTAAATAGATATCCTCTTCCTAGGAAATTTTGTTACATCATGACAGGAAGCTTGCCTTATATATTATTTTATAAAAGCTAAGAGATGTTGGTCACACTGGTTGCATTGAAACCACAGGGGAGGAAGTCTGAGTGCTTGCCCTGGATGACATAGATTTTCTAATTATTTCCTACAGTGTATGGGTCTTTTTTGCAACGAACACACACACACACACACACACACACACAGCTAAGGTCAGAAATGACATAATAATTAATCAGATCTTCCTCATCTCAGAAAAGGGGGGAGTTGGTAGGCTTGGGTTGGCCTACTGTCCCGGGTCAATGTAGAATAATTTTGATTCTCCCTGAAGTGGCCATGTTCCTATTCTTTATCTTGCCAACTCCCTACAGTCTAACTAGTCAGAAATGTTACAAAGGATCGCTAGGGGCACTCTCCCTCCAGGGAGCACACCCACGCCATTCCGATCCCCCCCCCCCCCGCCCCAGGGCACATATCCCCCCTCCTCTGAAGGACCAATGAAACTTGCAGCCAGGGGAGCAGTGGTCCTTGTTTCACTGTCCTAAGTGTGTTTTTGCTGCAGTCAACAAATTCTTGCTTGCTTTTTAAAAACCAAACAAAGGATTGCCAGGGAACCAGGACACTTGGATTCTAATGTTATTCTTTTCTAAACTTTAGTTAAGAAATAAAACAGGAACTATTAAATCTGTCTTTTGCAGTGTTAGAAAGCCAAGTAGCCATCAATCAAAAGAAGAAAACAGCCTTTTCAAAGAAAATCAATATAGAAATTAAAAGCAGTAGAGTTTTGTCCTGCTTATGCATTATTAAAAAGAGGAAGTAACTTTATTCAGAAGACACTTTTCAGGGGATGAATGTCTGAGAGTTGGGGGCTGGGGTGGGGAGAGCCTTTCAGCTCAACAATAAAAGCAGTTCATTGAGAGACCACATGAGACTCTGAAAGCACCATGGCTTGCTTAGAGACGTTGAGTGGCCATCACTGAGACTCACTAGATAATGGGTCAGATATTGTAATAGACTTTGTAGTAGGGGCTGGCCGCAGAGTCAGCGTGTTAACTGAATAGTGTGTCACTCAGGTGATAAAATTCAGTCAGTTTGAGCCCGACTGGCCATAGTCATAGTTCCAAGGGGTAGATTTGGGTAGACAAATGGTTAATCCTGAGAAAGTACTCCTCGGCAGATCTAAGTCCGGGTTCTGGTTAATGATAATCTGCCATTCTCTATCTGGCCGTTTACATTTTATCTGCAGTTTACACTGGGGAAAGTCCCTATGTATCTTTTCACTCTAGCTTTCTTTGTTTTGTCTTCTCTTTAGTACGTAAGCTGGCACCTAATGAATTTCCTCATAAACTCTATGTCCAGAATTACACATCAGCTGTGCCAGGCACCTGCCTGACCATTCGAAAGTGGCTTTTTACAACAGAAGAAGAAATCCTCTTAAATGACAATGACCTTGCTGTTACCTACTTCTTTCATCAGGTAGGTGAATTGATTTTCCTAGAAAGGCCTGATTTTTTTTGTTTTTGTTTTTGATCTGTTCGTATGTAGTGGGTAATTTGCTAATTCAGTATCAATCCTTGGGTAACTTGCTTTGCCTCTTGAATCTTAGTAAGTTTATAAAATGTGTTATCCCATTTCACAAAATATAAATAAGCTTAAGAAGTAAAGATATCCTGGAGTTTAAAATATATTTATTTAAACAACAGAAAATGAGCATTATGGCTGTATACCTTTTAAAATAATCTCTACCAAAATCACACACATCCACAGAGTTTAAAGCATCATATTCATAGAGTATAAATCATCATGTAGTTCTACATAGGTAATTACAAAAAATATTAGTTGCTTCCACTTATCTTCATCTCTCCACAAAGGCAGTCACTTTCACCTTCTTTAGCTTTGTTTTTTTCTTTCAGATTTGCATCCATGTCTCTGTAAGAAATTGGTTATATTGCTCCTATTTGATTTTTCAAATTCAGACAATATCTCTTCATTTCCCACTAAAAAATGAGACTGTAGCTCCATTTTGTTCTTCATTCTTACTAATACCTGTATCTTTTCATCTCTCCTATCTTCCTAATATAGGCATATTATAATATTTATTAAATCAGTATTCAGTGTTTATATTATTATGACTCTACAAATAATAAATTTATAGCAGAGCCTTGTATTGTTGCAATGTGAACATTAGCTAGGAGTCAAAATATCTGGTTCAACTATAGGCTCTACACAGGGCGTAATCTTAGCATAGCTTTGCTAAATTTGGTTTCCTGATCATGTAAGTGGAATCATAGGGTATTTGTCTTTTTGTGACTGGCTTATTTCACTTAGCATAATGTCTCATTCATGTTATAGCATGATTTCCTTCCTTTTTAAGGCAAAATGTTTCATTGTATGTGTATGTCTCATTTTACTTATCTAGTCATCTGTGGATGGACATTGGTTCTTTCCCCCATCACTTGGCTATTATGAATAACTACTAGGGGTCCAGTGCACGAATTCATGCATTTTGTGTTTTTATTTGTTTGTTTTGTACTTTGAAAGGAACTGTGGGCCTTGAGGCTGTGGTGGGCACGGGGCGGGCGTTGGCCCATCCTCTGCGCCCCCACCTGGTCCCTCCTGCTGCAGCCCCCCAGACCTTTATCTGCCAGCAGCCCTGCTTCCACCACTGCTGCTCCCACGCACTGACTTCGCCAGATCTGCTCTTACCTGCTGACAGCACGGTGCAATTGGGGCCGTTGCTGTGAGCACCTGCTGGACCATGGTGCATGGGAGCAAAAAATTTTCAATGACCACCCAAGGCTCGCCTCGATGACAGCGACCGGTGCCCTGACTTGGTCTGGTGCCGTCGCTCCCTGCCACCATCCTGCCATGGCCGACACCCACCATGTTCCGCACACGCCCCCTGGTGGTCAGCACACATCATAGTGACTGGTTGATCGTTTGTTCCCCTGTTCAGTTTATTTGCATATTAGTCTTTTATTATATAAGATTATGAACATGGGTGTATAAATAATCTTTTCAAAATCCTGCTTTTACTATGACCAGATTGAGATTACTGGATTATATGGTAATTCTATTTATAATTTTTGAGGAACTGCCATACTTTTTCCATAGCAGCTATGTACACTATTATATATTCCTAGTTTAAGGTCTTGTTTCATTTCATATGACACCGTCTGTCTCTCATTTTATTCTCTCCTTAGCTTAATTCACTTGACATGCATATACAAATCAATCTTCCTTTTTAAAAAAATGTTTTTTAATTGCTTATTTTAGCTCCCTACTGTCCTTAAGTCTAAATGCCTGTGCCTTCTTTTTAGGGTCCTTCCTAATCTGTTAACCTATCCCTCCAGCACATTATCTTTCATTTTCCCTTAACCATATACCCTTTATTCAAATTAGGCAAATCTGTCTCCTGACTGTATATAACCTCAAACCCATTCCTATATCCTGACTATAGCTAGTAGATTCTTCTATTCAATGTTGGCCCAACCAAGACTTCCTTGATAACTACAATTAGCAATAAGCTCTCGTGTTCTGACTGCATGTATCTTATCTATACCACACATTTTTGTTACTTTTTTGTTATCTTTAACTCAGTATTATATGCTCTCTTTTAATGTTCTCTAATTGTTCCACATATATAAATTTACCAGAGTTTAAATCTCTTAACATGGGAAACCAGATTCCTCCTGTGCCTAGAACAATCATTGAATGCATACCAGACACTCCGTACATGCTGCTTATTCCAGTAAATACATCCAGGTGGCAGATACACCAGTGATGCGATGGGCCATATGCATAAAAGTTATTCTGAAAATAAATCTGTCTCTGTTTCTATTAAGAATGTACTTGATAGTGATTTTTACATTTCTTTCTTTCCTGCCTCTTTTTGGTGCCAGGCTGTCGACGATGTGAAAAAAGGCTACATCAAAGCAGAGGAAAAGTCCTACCAATTACAGAAGCTGTACGAACAAAGGAAAATGGTCATGGTAGGTCTATGTCCCCATAACCTCTTTAGAAAATAACTCCTTATCTCTTAAGCCTATTGTTCCTATCTTTTTTGAAAGATGTAGCAACCTGGTCAGTGGCTTAACTAATTTTTAAAAAGGAAAGGGAGCCGAGACCGGTTTGGCTCAATGGATAGAGCGTCGGCTTGGGGACTGAAGGGTCCCGGGTTCAATTCCGGTCAAGGGCATGTACCTTGGTTGCGGGCATATCCCTAGTAGGGGGTGTGCAAGAGGCGGCTGATCGATGACTCTCTCTCATCGATGTTTCTAACTCTCCATCTCTCTCCCTTCCTCTCTGTACAAAATCAATAAAATATATTTAAAAAAAATAATAATAAAATAAAATAAAAAGGAAAGGGATATAGGCCTTGACATAAAGTCCATTGTGTTCCTCCATTTAGCACATAAAGAGCTTATTTTGTTATATAGATATGTAACTTGATTATAAATAATAACCAAATGGAATTCTTTTTGATAGAAAAAATCTAAAATAAAGATGTGTAAAACATTTAATATGATAAAGATAAGATTCCATAAGAATTGATACTAAGTTTTTTACATTGGAAATTATTTTTGTTGTGATTTAGCGGTGGCATAATCATTTGTTTTTATAACTTCAGTATCTGCAGTTGCTTAAATATTTATGCACTGTAGTGCTTTTGGTTAGTATCATATGCTAGAGCTGTACTGGTCATTTCGGTGGCTACCATCTTCATGTGGCTATTTAAATTTAACTTTATTTAAATTAAATAAAATTTAAAATGCATTAGCCACACTTCAAGTATGGAGTAGCACATGTGGCTAGTAGCTACTATATTAGCTAGCTCAGATATAGAACATTTTTATTATCCCAGGAAGTTCTGTTCAGAGGGCTGCCTAGAATACTCCTTAAATGTTTTAAAATTAGTTTTTAATTTGTATCTGCCATATATAAAAGGATGGAAATTGTCAAAAATAAAATTTGTAATGAACACTTACAAAACTTCCACTCATAGAATTTTAAAATATTTTTCTTGGCAAATTTCACATATAGTTGAAATTTTTCCAATTAAAATTTTTCATGATTTCACACAAGGCAGTAATTGCATTGGTTATGATTCTTATAAATCACTCGAATTTCTTTGTACCCTCTGTGCACTTTTTATGAAGGACTTCATCTACCTAAATTAATTGGGTTGAAATAAGAATATACAAATTAGCCATGAGGCTTAGCCCATAATCTTACGTCTAGCTGGGATAGTTATTTTCTCACTTATATGATGAAAAGTAAATTCCCAAAGATCAAGAAACTATCTACAAATTCTCTACATATCAATAGACTAAAATAGGGAACAAAAATTATTTTAAATAGAATCAAGTCTATTTGTTGCATTTTGTTTATGGGAATTTTAATATGTGGGAGACAGGATTTTAAAAATCAACTTCCTGTTCTGTAAAATAATGGCATTGTCTTTTACATATTAATGCATGATTCTGACCAATACATCTGCATCTTTTTGGTTAAAAGGGCCAAATACTAAAGGACCATCATCCTCTGCAGTAGTTCTTTTCCTTTTTCAAAGCCAGTGGAATGAAAGTAACTTCATAAGGGCCTTTGGTAATACCCGTGTTGGTATTTGGTCTACATATTGTTTTTTTGCACATGTAGTACTACTCCAAACACACTCTCGTCCATTTCTGCATTTTACCAGAAGTACTTGTTGAGCACTGGATGTGTGTCAGGCAGCTTTTCATGGTGGTCCAGTTCCATGGCAACATGCTTTCTCTGCCTTCTTTCCCCTAGTACCTCAACATGCTGAGAACTTGTGAAGGCTACAATGAAATCATCTTTCCCCACTGTGCCTGTGACTCCAGGAGGAAGGGGCATGTGATCACAGCCATCAGCATTACGCACTTTAAACTTCATGCTTGCACTGAGGAAGGACAGCTGGAGGTGAGAGTTCAGCATGGGGCTGGCTGGGAACCCTGCGATACTTTGATAGTCACTCTCTTGTTGTGTTTTAGTTCTAGTCGTGGGATGATGTCAGAACTGTTTGACTGGGGTAGATAAGTACGCACTGGATTCACGCTGATCCTCACCCTCACGTGTTACCCTGACTCTTATTCTTCTGTTACCTTTTCCTGAAGTGCTGCAGACAACTAATTCACTCATCTCTCTCCTGCTGCCTGGCTGAGAACCGTCTTATTAAGCTTCCCAACATTCTCAAACTTACACTCTTGTTCTCGGTTGTTTAGAACCAGGTAATAGCATTTGAATGGGATGAGATGCAGCGATGGGACACAGATGAAGAAGGAATGGCCTTTTGTTTTGAATATGCACGAGGAGAAAAGAAGCCTCGATGGGTTAAAATCTTCACACCATATGTGAGTGGTAGACGGGAAGATGCTTGGGGAGGATACGCTGGGCTTGAAGTTCTTACACCAAAGGCTCCCTGGAGAGAGCTGCAGGGAGAGCAGTGGGCTGAGCTCTGAGCCTGTTTGAATTCTAGAGCCCCCAGTTCTTCCTGGCTCTCCTGGAGGCACCACTGGGATTGGCAGTTTCACATCCCGCTTGACTCACAGTTACCACTAGAAGGAGCTAGAGAGTCATAGATGAGCCAGGCCTGGCTTTGTGGGGCTTGGCTTGTCAGGGTTCTTCTCTGGGCTGAGAAAGTTTGGAAGGTGGGGTGGCTCAGGGCAGAAGTTCAAAGGCACGGATGGCCCTTGGGTACCTGGTCCTGCCAAGTCAGTGAGTGCTGCTGTGTTCTTTTTTCAGTTCAATTACATGCACGAATGCTTCGAGAGGGTGTTCTGTGAGCTCAAGTGGAGAAAAGAGGTAATTCTAATCAAACTTGAATTGATTATTTCCTCTTTGTTTAAATGTATAGGCTTTCAGCCACATAGCCTGGGGCCCTTCCCCCATCCCCATCTTCCTGGGACTGTTGGTTAGGTGATGACCCCATGTGAGCCAGGATACTCACACACAGGGTCAGCTTTTGGATGCTAAACAGACTGTGTAAAAGCCCTGCTTCTTCCTTTGTCTAGAGCAGGGGTGGGGAGTGTGTGGCCCATGGGCTGTTTACAGCCCAAAAAATGATTTGGTCTGGCCCTGCCAAGTCATTATGGGGTTTATTAATTAAATGTTTGACCAAATGGAGCAGGCTGATTTTTAAGTTGATAATTTTGTATGGCCCATGAATGATGTTATAAATATCCAAAAGGCCCTGAGCAGGAAAAAGGTTTCCTCCCCTGGTCTAGAGGATGGCCACTGGCTGCAGGGTACCCCATCTCTCAGGACTTCATGGACCACCCCCCCCCCCCCCCCCCGCCTGATTTTATCAAAGCTCCCTCCATGCTGTTCCTGACCCAGGGGGCAGCTGTCCTCAGTTTTAGCCACAGGCCAACCACAAATGCGTGTGTGGGGGCAGGTCTTTGCCTGCTTTACTGCTGTCTGTGTGCCAGTGCTGGGGCAGAATGAGGAGAGGCTGAATGTTAGCCACCGAGTCTCCAAGAAAATGTTCCCGAGGTTCAGCAGTAGCGTCAGGACAAAGCAGTCTCCCTAGAGTCCAGTTTCCTCATTTTCTCTCATGTGTAAATGGGAAGGCTGAGCCAGATACTTAATAGCAGGTCCCTTCCAGCTCTACAGGCTGGGATTCTAGGTGGAAAGGCACAGTGAGAAGAGGCCCATCCGATCGAGTCATCCAGTCGTGCACTTTCTGATTCCGTTTGAACGGTGTCTCCGGACTGGAGGACAGGTAGACATCTGAGGCTTCCCAGTAACTCTCCTTTGTTTCTTTCAGAACATTTTCCAGATGGCGCGGTCACAGCAGAGGGATGTGGCCACCTAGCCTTCCCTCACCCCCTTCTCTTCACCTCCATCCTCCGACCCCTTCGTCTCCCATGTCAGACAGAGTAACCATTAACACAAAGGAAGAGGAAAAGGAAAAGTCATTATACTCAAAGCCCTAAACTAAATAATAATAATCCTTCTGAATGTCATGTCTCTGGAAGTGAGCCGGTAGAAAACACCAGATTGGTCAGCACCAGGAGCCACCTGAGCTAAGATAGGAACAGGAATGAGCCCAGCCAACTCGCCGACGGTCTCTGTCCTCTCACTGGGCCTCGCACCAACAGACTCTCCTTGTACTATATTTTTAAGACTGGAACTATGAACTCCATCCATTTGCACTGTTCATACATATGTATGTATGTATGTAAAAATTATATATACACAAATTAGCTGCACGTATTTACATATATATATTTCTTTTTAAATTTCATATTGATGGCAGTACCTTTTTTAGCTTGTGTTTTTACACACCTTTCACTAGAATTCATGACTTCTTTCTTGCTCTCTTTCTTTTGAAACAAACTTTAAAAAGGAAAAAAAAAAATTTACAGGGAAAATACCTCTCCTCGTGAAGGACTCGAAAAGTTTACAACCTGCTTGGGTTTCCCCCCCTTTTTGTACGGAGTGAGGATTCTGGCTCAGGTGTGACTGTAGAGTCTGAGGAGCAAGGAGCATAGTTTCTTTTTCTTCCAGGAAGCTGTTGGGGAGAAGGGAGGGATGTGTTCCTAATGGGGCAGCCAGGCTGCGGTCTGCAGGAGCATCTGCAGGTGTGGGGCGGTCTCTCAATTCCAAGACATCTTCCTGGTCTATCCGACTCTGCACTCGTGGCTCTAGCCACAGCCCACACCTTCCCGCTTCCCCAGGGCCCCTGTGTGCTCCCCCTCCCCTGGCAGTGGGAGGGGAGCTCAGGAGGGTAATGCCACAGGAACCTAAACACTTCCTGGCCATAGTTTCACTGCTTTTCTGAAACTGAGGTAGGACTAGGGGCCAGAGTCAACGCTGATACCTTTAGGCACAGAGATTGGATGTAGGTAGGGGAAAGGAAGGGAGAAACGCCCCATGTACATAAGCTTTTCCCTACTCGGTTTGCGACCAGTCACCACCCATAACTATGACATTCTCTGTGACTTCCTTAAGCAGCTGACGGCATCCCCAGACCCTGGGGAAACTTGGGATGGGTCAGTGGTCAACAAACCACATCCGTCCCAGCCAGCTGAGGACCCAGGAAGGAGCAGTGGGAATATGGTTTCATTAACAGGAGACTGAAGGAGATCCTTTTTGTCCCTTAAAGACCTCATCTGACCTTGCAGGTGGACCTTGAGGTCTAAGAGCTACACCCCGGGGCCGGGGTTCGGGGCTGACTAGAGCAGGGCCGCGTGGTCGGCCCGCGGGCTCTGTCTTCAGAGGATTGCCTTGGGGGCTCTAAGCCAGGCTCGGGTGCAACGGAAACACATCTTTGAACCTTCTTTTCCTTTCCCTCTCCACCTTCTGAACAGAAACCTCCAGAGGTCTTTTGCTTTGTCTAACTGGGAGGCAACCATAGCTGGTTGTAGTCAACTCCACTGAGCAGTGTTGGGGTGCTTTGACGTTTCCTTTTTTATAACTTGTTTTTGCAAATCATTGTGAATCCTCTTTCCCTCTGTTATCCTGGCAGCTGTTCGCCCCAGGGGAGTGTGGGATTGTACAGGATATCCTTCCTGTCTTCTCTCCCCTCCTCCACACCCAGGTGGAATCAGAGCTCAAAACATGTGAACGCCGAGCGTTGAAAGTTGCAGAGGGTGATCCCTGATGTGAAGGCTTTGTCACGGGATTAGCTGCTTTTGGCTGCAATGAATTTAATGATGAGCCAAAGGCCCTGGAAAGAAGATCCCTGGGTTTTCCACTCCTAGATGCTAAAGAGGATTTGAGGCCAGCTTTGTTTAAACTATAAAAAAATCGCAGCAGTTTACCCCTGTCCCCTCATTGTGGGCCAGGAAGCCCTGTGGCAGCCCACGTGCTGCCCTCCGCACGTGAGGCTGTGGGAAGCCCCCTGAGCGGACAGGTGCTGCTCTGGCCCCTTTCTGGCATGTTCACTTGGTGCTTTGGAGAGTGGGCGAAGACCCACAGGTTGGCGCTCGGCAGCAGGCTCTGTAGGAACAGCCCCTGCTTGAGGCTGCAGCACTGACAGTGCCAGCTGCTGCCCGGTAGGTAGGGGAGGCCCGGGCCAGCGCTTCTCTTGGCCACAGCAGGTGCCTGCAGAGGCCGAGAGCACTGGCCGGGGAGCACCAGAGGATCCAGCCTTCTTTGCATGAAGCAGTGTTAGTGTGACACTCCTTTCCCCTTGCCCTGCGTGTCCTTTCTCGAATCCCTGCCCCCTTTCTTGGTCCTGGGTTCGGCCCGGGGAGGCTTCCTGTGCAGTTTGTCTCTGGGAAATGGAAGGGCTTCCTTCCCCCTGCTGTGCCCCAGCGGAGCCGGCAGGATGCTCCTGGTCTCCCGCAGTCCTCCCCTCCACTCAGCTTGGCCCTGAGAAGCCTGTCCCCACAGAAAGGTGTCCTGGGGCCAGGCTTGGGGCTCTGCTCTCTCTATTTATATTCTGCTCTCCATTTCTCCGCCCTCCCCTTGCCCTAGGCCTAAGCTCAGCAGCACAGGTGAGTGCTCAGAGCGGCTCAGACCTGGAGGGAGCTCTCAGGGAGGAAAGAGAAACGTTCAGTGTCCCCATGCCTGGCCATCCGGTTTCATCCTTTAGTTCCCCAGGCCAGCAGCTCTGGGTTTTCCCCTCGTGCAGCTCCTGACCCAGTGCTTGAAGCCACAGGATAGGGCATTGGCAGGAGGTGGACCTCTCTCATCTCAGAATTTTCCAACTCCTGGGTGGCTCCTAGGAGGCAGTTTTCTTAAAAGGGACTGCGTCCTGGTCGGTCTGAAGCCCCCGACTTGTAGGGACTGCTGTGCCCTCTCTTCTCCACCGGTGGGGGCTGCACGCCGGTGAGGGCTGCAGCAGGAGGAACCCTTGGGGCTGTTGGACTCCCAGCATTCACCAGGTTCATGTGTCCCATTCGCTTCCTTTGGAGGGAGGAGGTGTGGCTGAATACTGAGAGAGAGTGTAGAGGCGATGGGTGTGCTCTAGCACCTCACCTCCCAGTCCCACCTCCCACCTTCCTCTTCCTGAACCCGCACACCATGCCAGGCCTCACTCACACCAGGACACCATCAGCTCACCCTCAGCAATAATCTCAGGTGTGTGGGAAGCTTGGGGCTGGGGGGGGAGGAGGTCGGAGTCGGAGAGGGGAGTGACACGGGGTGAGGTGTGCGGCCAGCTGCTAACGTTGACACCAGTTTTATGTCATGCTCCCTTTTCAAGCCAGTGAGCTGGGCTTCAGTTTTCCCCAGGCCATGCACACTTAATTTATTTGAGAGAAACTCTAATTGTATTTTCACTGCAGTATCTTGTATTTTTTATTTGTGATTTAAGAAATGTGAAGAGAAAATACACAGACACATAATGGCTAGCAGTGTTTCTTTCATTCCTGGTTCTAGAGCTAACCACTCTAAAATTGTTTGGTAATGTCACTTAGTGTAATTAATTGTAACATATTCTTTTAAATAAATTGATTTATTGATGAAACTATCCTTTGGTTTCCTAGGTTACAAATCCTGTGGGTTGTGTGGGAAGCAGTGCAGAGAGGCCTTTGAGATTTGAGTTGGAATGGTCAGTCTGGAAACGGGAAGGAACATTTAACCAGTTATCCCAAGTAACGAGTGATCTTCTGAAGGCAGGCGATGGGGAGGGGGAGAAAAGGAGAAGCTGGAGGCCTCTGGTCTGACCTTATGTTCAGTGACTCCTTTGAAAGTTCCTTCCCCCTCAGACCTCAGTTGGCTGAGCCAGCCTGCACAAAACCCACGATAGCTCACAGGGTCCTCCCTGATCTTATGCAGACAGATCCTGGCAGAGTCCTTGGGACACATCTTAGTGCCAAACCCCAGCAACATGTATGGACTTTGTCATTTTTTCTACTTTATGTATATACTAGAGGCCCAGTGCATGGATTTGTGCACCAGTGGGGTCCCTCAGCCTGGTCTGTGCCTTCTTGCAATCTGGGACCCCGCAGGAGATGTCGGACTGCCTGCTTTGGCCCCATCCCTGAAGGCCTGCAGGGATCAGGTCGAAACTGGCAGTCCGACATCCCCCAAGCGACATAGTGCTCCAAGTGGCAGGTGCTGGGGAGGAGTCCAGGCCAGGCGCCATGCCACTCCCGCTCACCCCAGCCCCATTGCGCCTATCGCCACCGCCCTTGGTAGCCCTGCCATGGTAGTGCTGACCAGCACTCCCGCTGTGGGTGTGCACTGACCACCAGGGGGCAGCTCCTGCGTTTAGCATCTGCCCTCTGGTGATGAGTGTACATTATAGTGACCAGTCGTTCAGTCGCTTAGGCATATATATATATATATATATATATATATATATATATGTATGTATTTAATTGATTTTTTTTTTTTTAAAGAGAGGGCGAAGGAAAAGGGAGAGAAAGAGAAACATCTGAGAAACATTGACCGGCACACCTCCTTTTGGGGATCAAACTTGCAACTCAGCATATGCCCTGACTGGGAATTGAACTGTGACCTCTTGGTTCGTGGGCTCATGGATGCTCAACCACTGAGCCAAAGCTCTTAAAACCGAGGGTGGGGAAATGGGATTTCTCGAAGGAATTATTCAGACTCCCCTGCCACCCCATCCCCTGTCGTCCCCCTCACTGAGGATGCTTTTCTCAATGCCTTTTTGTTTCTATGACTGGAAGGCGTCTCCTGATACTGGCCATTAGTCTGTCAGCTCCACTCTCTGCCTGGAGAAGTCCTTTTCCTTCCCTCTTCCTGTTGCCATCAACAATGTTAGAGCAGCACTCGGTTATTTTAGAAGAGACTGGTGCTAAGCATCATTTGCTTGGTCTGAAGTGAGGGGATGTCGTCACCCTGCTTGTTCTCTGTCCCATTTTATTACTGAAGCTAACAGAAGCCTCCCCACCT